CCAGTGAATCAAACACATTCACCTTGAAACTCCTCCCATTCCCCAAGGTTTATAATGTCCCTGATTCATGAAATAAATGCTCGCTTGCTCTCTCACTCCATTCCTCCACCATGACCACCCGAGTCTTGTCATTTATTCTGGGGAAGGACGGGCTCTTCTCCTCCCTGAAGAATTTGATGCAGCCATAGCTGCCTTAGTCAACCAACAAAACTGTAAACCTGCATTTGGCCTTGAACCGACAGGGCACTGGCATCTGCCTGTATCCTCTGCCATTAGAATGGAAGCTTAACCAAAAGGCTATAACACTTAGGTATCATCACCGGCTTTGAAATGCCCAAGTTTCCACTGCCATCTGGCAATTTAATAAAAAAAGAGTTAATTCTAACACAGTCAGAAACAGTTTTCCACACCCCTGGTGAGACCCAGAGCCTTGCATATGGACCTCACTCTAGCTGCTCCTGAGAGTAGCAAAACGTGAGACTCCCAGCTTCCCACCCATTTCCCACCCAAGCACTGGGAGCACCTGGTCTGCCCGAAAGAGGATTGAGCACTTCCAGCAACAGCATCAGGAAGCAGAATGACAATCTCTGTCTTTCACACGCATGTTCCTATGTACCAATATCCACACATGCCTGCATGTGGGTGCACACGTTACATATCCATACACACAAACACACACATACATGATGACTTTTAACGCTTTATTGGCACTTCATTGCTCTGAGATTTAGCACCAACCTTGCTACCAGTAGCCACATACTGGTCTGACTTCTGGGCATTCGGCAGTAAACAGAGTCCCTCCCCGGAGGCTGATAATTTATGGAGAAAAGCCTGGTGGTTTTTCAAATTGCAGTGTAAGTAAGAAACATAGGGACAGTAAGAGAGAATGGTGGTGCTGGGTCACAGTGGAACGAGAAGCTGATTTGGGCAGAATTGAAAATTGGAGTCCAGAGTCATGTGGCTATGAGGCTCTGACAGGGTTTCTAGAAGAAACAGAACTCAGTGGTCAGGCCAGCATGGCCGGCCAGTGCTGCCGATGTCAGTACAATCTGCTGAGTCCTTTGGAAGACAGTAAAAAATCTCAGGTGTCAGAGAGAGGGGAGTTTGGGAATGACAGACATGTATAGGACAGACTAATGGCTGCCAGAGCTGCTGACAAGGCCAATGTCAGTGTCAAGATGTCTTGGTAGTTGCTTAGAGTCTATTTGGCAGTTACTTAGATACCCGATCACTTATGAAATGAAGATGAGCCAAATAAGAAGTACATATGAAAGCATGCATGCCTCTAAATTCCATTTCATCAAGCAACGGCTCTGACAGAGGCTCACTACATGCTCTGCCCGGACTCTAAGGTTAAGAAGGATTCAGAAGGGGATGGAGAGATGGCTCAGTAGTTAAGAGTGCTTGCTGCAGACGCTGAGACTTATGGCCAACTGTTGGGCAGAGTGCATAGAATCTTATGTAAGAAGTGGGAAATAGTAAGATCTGGAGAGGACAGGAACTCCACAAGGAGAGCAACAGAACCAGAAAATTTGAACACAGGGGTCTTCCCAGAGACTCATACTCCAACCAAGTACCATGCATGGATATAACCTAGAACTCCTGCACAGATGTAGCCCATGGCAGTTTAGTGTCCAAGTAGGTTACATAGTAATGGGAACAGGGACATGAACTCAGTGGCTGGCTCTTTGATCACCTCCCCCTGAGGGGGGAGCAGCCTTACCAGGCAACAGAAGACGACAATGCAGCCACTCCTGATGAGATCTGATAGACTAAGATCAGAAGGAAGGAGAGGAGGATCTCCCCTATCAGTGGACTTGGGGAGGGGCATGCATGAAGAAGGGGAGGAAGGGAGGAACTTATGGGGGGGATACAAAGTGAATAAAGTGTAATTAATAAAAGTTAAAAAAAAACAAAACCCTTAGACTTGAAGTGCAAGAAGAAGAAAAAGACCCTATCATTATTCATTGGATGCATTGCTGTCAGTACTGCTAGTCTTTGTTTTGCTGAAATGTGAACTAATACAAGTTTATTTTCAACTTTAATTTCAAGAGAAAGATAGCTTGTTAAATATATACTTTTTAAATTTTTATATGTTTAAAGGATAGACTTCATGGATGCTTATTTTATCCTCATCAATTTCCCTCACCAAAAATATTGTAAAAATAATTCTTTTTTAATTAAATTTTTATTTTTTATATTAAAAAAAAAGAGTGCTTGCTGTTCTTCCAGAGCACCTTGCTGTTCTTCCAGAGCACCTGTCTTTGGTTCTTGGCACCCAGTTCAGGTGGCTCAGAGCCTCCTGTGGCTCCGGCTCTAAGGGATCCTTACCCTCTTCAATGGGGACCTTCACACATGTAGCATACACATAATATTTTTAAAAGAATTTTGGTGTTTTTGTTTTGAGACAATGTTTCTATACGTAACAATCCTGGCTGTCTTGAACCTCTCTTTGTAGACCAGGCTGGCTTCAAACTCAAAGAGATATGCCTGCCTCTGCCTACTGAGCTGGGATTAAAGGCATTTGCCACCACACCTGGCTTTAAATAATTTTTTAAGAAGCCTTTTTTTTTTTTCAGTCACTTATGGTGGCACACACATGTGATTCCAGCACTCATGGAGGCAGAAGCAGGTGGATCTTCGTGTGTTCAAGGCCAGCCTGGTCTACAAAGTGAGTCCAGGGCAGGCAAGACTATACAGAGAAACCCTATGATGGTGAGAACTTTATAACAATGTGCTGTTCTTGCATCCTATTCAATAACTGCACATTACCATACACTTTCAGATAGAAATTTTTAAAGTTAACCTGAATTTACACAACACACACCAGACAATGTGCCACAAACACATAGATCTTCTCCTTTGTCTCACAGAGGAGCTGAACAGTTCCAAAGTACAGACGAAGTCATCCTTCTCTGGATCCTCCAGTTAGTGCAAAGGAATCTCATCCACACAGTCCTCACCAGCTACAGTCCGATCAAGTCATGCTGGGAACCACACCAACACCAATAGATTTTGACCACGATTCTTCAGAAGCTGCAAGGTGCCAGAAAATGATCAGGTCACACACAACAGGAAAAATACACCGTCATGTTTCTTTCTTCAAAACATAGCAGAGCGAGGAGAATCTCTTCTCTGAAACAATTTCCTCTAATGACCGTCATCTTTGAAGACCCAAATGCATTAAGGATCTAAACATGGTGTCGAGGTCACCACCTAGACACCCTAAGAAAGATTGCAAAACCACCCAATGGAACATAAATGCGAGTTCTAATAGGACAGCCACCCAAGGTATGCCTGCGTAAGCCTGGTGTGTTGGAAACCTGAAGAAAACATTTCTTTTATTAACCTCCGTATATGAAAGGCTGACATTCACTGTCTGGATTGTAAGTTTCTCCCAAGCGTGTCTCAGGTTCACAGTGATGGACTTGGGTCAACTGGCCCAAATAGACTGACATGTTGAAGAATGGAAGCAGCTTGTAGTTTTCTCCATTTTTGTCTCTGAAAGTTATTTTTATCTTTCTCTAATTCCTAATTCCCAGTAGGGAAAGAGATCACATAAACTATACCCAGGAAGAGTATGTTTTACCCCTAACCAAACTCCAACTGTCTCCACCACTTTGTCTTTTGTGTGTGGGTGCCTGCCTGTGTATGACTGCATCAAGAGTAAATAGCCCAAGCCTTTCTCAACTTTCTCACTGGGGATCTGGTTTACATTTCCTGATGATGGGGTACAGGTCATTTGTATAAAATATCCACTACAAATCCCTTCAAGACAAGGCTGTCTCTGCCTTTGGCTTGTCTTCACAGGTAGATTCCTAGAGACCTGTCAGACTGCAGGGTACTAAGAGAAAGCATCTGGGATATTTCTAAGAATGCTAAGGATTTTACTCTTATCTTGTTGTTGTTTTTGTTTTGTTTTGTTTCCTGGCAGCACCTTGATGTAATCCATGCTTATAAATTATTATTTCTTTTGTGAAAAGGCTCAGATGAACACGTTTCACTGTCCTTGTATATTTGTTTTTGCAGTTTATTTTGCTATCATTGGTAAAGAAAAGAGGCAGGCAAGATCTTTGCATGAGCTCTGGTGGGTCCCACACAATGGAAGGATGTGAAAGCCTCTCTAAGAAAGTTGTGCACTTACTGTGACCTATATATAGGGCAGAGTGTAGAATGTTCTTCCCACAAGGTGATGACCTTCTAGAACGAATTACATGAACTATGATAAGTGAATACACTTAAAGGCAAGGGCATGAAGGAAATGCCCTGGCATGTCCACATTATCTCTGTAGGAAAGGCAAAGGCCTGCGGGGAATATTCTTGGCTCTTTTCACAAGATCACAGATGATAATAACACCAGCTATATTTCCTTGCTGTACTTATATTTGCTTAAATTGTAAATGTCACCTCATGTTTTACTTGCTTTAATAATAAAAATGAGAAGTGCTGCTTTTTTTTTTTTTTTTTTTTTTCCACTACTCTTGAGCTCAAACGCCTAGCGTCCCCTGATTCCCAGGCAGGTCTTTGGAATATCCTTCCATCTGGAGATTTAGCTTCACTAGCCACAGGACAGGTGGACAAACACAGGTAACCTGGCTGTGAGGATATGCAAGGAGTCCTCCATGGACATCTTTAATCTACTTTATTGTAATTTTACACTATCATCTATCAAGTTACCATCTATCAACCTATCAATCATCTATTTGTCTGTTTGGCCTGAAACTGGCAAGGCTGGCCTTGAACTCAAGAGATCTGTCTGCCCCTGTCTCTTGAGTGCTGAGATTAAAGACTGTGCCACAGCTGGTCTGATCTGTTTATTATCTATCCATTATCTAGCAACAGTACCGCCAGACACTATGAACGCACAGGCAAGGCAGACGGAAGCCGATTGGGTACTGTGGGCATCTGGGCAGGAGGATTAGCCTGTTGGCACGAGCATGACATATTCAGGAGGCGACGGAAGCAGGGTAGCGTGGCATGACGCAATCGCTTAGCGCCGGAAGCGGCCAAGCGGGACATGGAAGAAGGACCCGCGGACCGGACCCTGTCGCGAGAGGTCTCGACTGAGGAGGCCGAACCGCTGGGCGCCGCGTGGAGCGGGGACAGCGGCCACGTATCGCAGAGCCACAGCAGCGCGTCGGGGCCGTGGGAGGATGACGGCCCCGAGGACGCGCCGGGCCGCGACCTGCCGCTGCTGCGCCGCGCTGCCTTGGGCTACGCCTCCAGCTTGCTGCCCGCTACGAGTCCCCGGCCCGAGGTGGAGGCGCTGGACGCCAGCCTGGACGAGCTGCTGGCAAAGGTGGACGAGTTCGTGGGCATGCTGGACATGATTCGCGGAGACTCCTCCCACGTGGTGAGCGAGGGCGTGCCGCGGATCCACGCCAAAGCCGCCGAGATGAGACGCATCTACGGCAGGATCGACAAGCTCGAGGCCTTCGTGAGGATGGTCAGTACCAGCGTGGCCAGGATGGAGGAGCAGGTCACCAAGGCCGAGGCCGAGCTGGGGTCTTTCCCCCGGGCCTTTCGGAGGCTGCTGCACACCATCAGCGTTCCGGCTCTCTTTAAATCGTCGCCCACCGGACCCCAGAGCACAGCCTACGAGCCGCCTGTGCTGTTCCGGACGGAGGACCACTTCCCTAGCTGCGGTGACAGGCCACAGCTCTGAGCCTGCGCCTCTGCCGCAGGAGGACTCCAGTGAGACTCTTGTTCCGAGCATACAGAGATCTTGCTGACTGGTGTATATGATGTCTGGATGTGAAATGTTAAAGTTTATTTTCTGCAAACGACTCGTCCTTATTCAATATCAAAGAGCGTAGATCCCCGTGTCTTTCAGTTCTGATTCGTAAGCTGTTTGGTGGGGGCCCCGGGGAAGCCAACTGAATTAATTTATCTGTGCAATATGGCAGAACTGTTATTTTTATGGCCTTTATTACAGTTAACAGTGTTACCTTGTTAAGATTTATATATTTATATGATCAAAAGTGACCAAGAAATTAAAGCTGTGTTCTTAAATCCTAACAGTGGTTCAGTTTTCTGTACCTTCTGGGATAGATGGTAGATTAGTTAGTATTGTATTCAATTTTCCATAGCATGGATTGTAAGCTAGAGAAAATAAGATCCTTTCTCAAGATAGCAAACTGGGTATTTTGTTGCAGTTCTGAAACTGTATTTGACAGGATTTGAAGACTCAGTTTATCATAGCAAGCATGGTTGTCAGCGTTCTACTTACAACACATTAATTAAAATGTTGAATTTCATTGAAAGATATTTCCTTCTGGAAATTATTTAACATAGTTTGTTTGGAAATAAGCCTGTCATTCACGTTTTTAGTAGTGGAGTAAGAAATGTCAACTTCCTTCTTCAGAAGGCTTGCTTGAAAAACCAACCTTGCTGTTTTCACTTCTCTGTGATTCTTCCCCCTGAGTCCCATGGAATAGCAGGAGGGTTTCTTTCTTTCACTTTTAGGCACATAGAATTCTTGAAGGTCCCTTACCGACAAAGCGCTATTCCCTAAGTTGATTCTCCCAGGTGGTAGCCCCAAGTAAGTACTCAGCTGACTGTCTTGCTCTCTGTTAGGGTGAAATCAGTCACAGAGCCAGCTGTGATGGCACACATTTGCAATCCCAGCACTCAGGAGCCAGGGTAGCCTGGGTTACAGAGTAAGTTATGGATCAGCTTGGGCAGTGACCATATAACAGAAAATAAATGACTTAGCCAGGTGTGGTGGCACACATTTGCCCCCAGCACTCAGGAGGCAGAGGCAGGCGGATCTCTTTACATAGTGAATTCCAGGATAGCCAGGTTACATAAAGAGACCCTGTCTCAATAAATAAAGTTGATAATGTAGTCTCTTTGGCTTTTCATGGGCCTTCTGTGTTGTATAGTGACATTTATTCATTTGGTTTGTGGTTCAAATTAAGGAACATCTGAGTTTAAGAGCTGAGGCAACAAGTGACCTATAGTTACTTTTCAGAATCTAGTCGGTGTTACTACAAATTATTAATATATTTCTGTGCCAGGTGCTGTGAAAATAGAGTTCTAGGCCAACCTGTGCTAAAGAGTAGCACCCTGTCTCAAAAACACCAAAGCTAAAGATTCCTTACACAAGGGTTGAAGAGATGGCTCAACAGTTAAGAGCATGCTCAGTTCCCCACTTTAGTTTTTGTCTTTTTATTTTTGTTTTTCAAGTCAGGGTTTCTCTGTTTAGCCTTGGCTGTCCTGGAACTCAATCCTTAGACCAGGCTGGCCTTGAACTTAAAAAGATCCACCCACCTCTGCCTCCGCCTGGGATTAAAGGTGTGCACCACCACCACCGCCACCTGGCTAACCCATTTTCACTTTTTTGAGAGCGCACAGTTGCCTCTAGCTCTGGCTCCAGAAGGTCTGCTGCCCTTTTCTAGACCCTGAGGTCACCTGCACTCACATGTGCAAGCCCACACTCAGACACACAAGTTAAATGTTTGCAAATAGGTCATCTTTAAAAATGTGTTTGTGCCAGGCAGTAAACAAATTTTTAAAGTGTGTTTAATATAGAGTGGTAAGTAGGGCAAATTATGAAAGTATTTTAAATCTGAGATTTATTATCTGTACACTAAAACTCTGAAATCCCAGAAGGCATAAGTTAAGTGTGCTATGAAGTAGAACATTGATTATGTTATTTATGTATTTACTCAGAAAATCGTAAGCTAGGCTGAGAAAAAAATGGTAAGCGCTAGGGAAAGAGGCTCAGTGCTTTAGAGCTAATCATAAACCTTCAGACAGTACATCTAGTTCAGATGAGAACATGCATAATCACCTGTGAACTTTATTTCTAAAGTGTCCGGGCATCTCTGGGGTTTCCAAGCAGAGATTTGTGGCCTTCTTACTTTGTTTGAGGAGCTGATGGCTTCCATAGAACCGTACCTTAGGTTAAAGTTCTTTGCCTGGAAAATGGAGGTTGCAAGCCGGTGGGACTCTTACCTCTAATCCCAGCCTTCAGGAGTCAGAGGCAGAAGGATCTCAGGTTGGAGCCAACCTTAGCTACATAGTTCTAGGCTAGGCATATGATCCTGTCTGCAAAAACAAAAGGAATGTAGATGCTCCCATACTGCCTGGCAATGCCACCTTCAGGCCTCTTGGCTTCCTCCTCTAACTCTGATCTGTCTGACACCCCAGGGGCCTCCAGATCTTTGAAAACTGTTTCTTGTCCCTCTTCTTAATAACACATAGAAAAAAAAAAAAAAACCTAGCCCATTCATTAAATATAGTTCAGGGGCTGGAGAGATGGCTCAGTGATTAAGAACACTGCTCTTCCAGAGGACACCATTTCAATTCCCATCAATGGTGTGCAGGTTCACAACAATCTAATTCCACTTTTGAGGGAATCACCAGGCATGCACATGGTGAACAGACCTATACAACACTCAGCACATAAAACAAATAATAAGACTACATATAGGCCGTCTCTGCTGCTGGGGTCTGGAGCCCCCCCCCCCCCCCCTTAATGTAAATGGGTGGGACTGGCAAAGCCTGGGATGGGCACTCCACCAGTCACCCTTGGATAAGTCTGCTTTGCTTACAAATGCATACCTGCTAAGAGTACCAGAATATAGGCTGTTTCTCAGCTGAAACCAGCCTTTGGCAGCCTGGACTGGATGTACACTGACCCCTACGGGACCAGCAAGCAGCTTGTGACTTTCCCAAGCCCGAACTTTCAGGGGTCAGTCTTGAAAGTGCCTGGGGTGAACATGCTGGCTGAACCTGAGCAGTCAGTACTTCTAAAAAGGACCAGTTGGGGGGTCTGGAGAGATGGCTCAGAGGTTAAGAGCACTGGCTGTTCTTCGAAGGGTCCTGAGTTCAATTCCCAGCAACTACATGGTGGCTCACAACCATCTATAATGAGATCTGGTGCCCTCTTCTGGTGTGCTGGTGTATATGCAAGCAGAGCAGTGTATACAGATAAATCTTAAAAAAAAAAAAAAAAAAAAGGCCAGTTGGAGTTTTAAAATCATAGGCAAGTGGTCCCGTGACCACTCACCTGCCCTTATAATGCGACAGCAGCTGGTGACCATGGGCAAGCCACCGTGCATGGATGTATGCCAGTGAAATAGTCTGAGATATAAGACATAGAAGGGCTGGGAGGTGACAGTGGGTAATGTGCTTACTATGCAGCATGGCGACCTTGGTTTGCCTCTCCAGCTGGACGTACTATCTGGGCATGGTGCTGTGCATCTGGAACCCAGTACTGAGGGACAGAAACAAATGGATCCCAGGGGTCACTTGCCAGCCATGCCAGCTGCAACAGCTCTAGGCTCAGTAAGAGACCCTGTCTTAGAAAATAAAAAAGTGAAAAAGATGGAGGAGTAAGGAAGGCATTCTGGCTTCCACCCAGGCAGCTCCCCACAGGAGTGAGCCTGTGTACAGGTGCACACACATGCCTTCGAACACACACTCCCACGAGGGATGGAGGTTAAAACCACACAATAGGAGAATGCTAAAATGGCCTGGAATTCGACATTTGTAATTAGCTAGGATACGAAGCCTTCAGAAGGGGCCTTCAGAAGGGAAAGGTGCAGGATCAGTTTCCTAAGGATGTTTTTCTTGCTGTTCAAAGTGAACAGGATGAAAGAGGGCCTCAGGATGCTTAGCAGGGAGCTCAGGTCATAAGAGAAAGAGAGAGAGTCACAAAAAAGTGGGGTCCTACTTGGGGGTCCTATCTGACTAATGACTGACTTTCTGAACTTGCCTACAGCAATATCTTCTGAGTTCTGTGGCTTAGAGTGGCCTGCTGTTAACAAAGAGGTGGCATCCAAGCTATCACTGGAATGCCCCCTCCCCCAGTGCCAGTGTTTCATGGGTCCTGCTTGGCTTGCCTGGATTCTCAACAGTAATAATGTGCTAGGAACATTCAGATGTCTGTCAAATGACTGACAGTCAGACTGGCCCAGTGAGCGAGCTACACCATAGCTGGGTACCCTATCAAAACAGAAGAGCAAATAAAGCCACTTGTTTGTTAGGAAACCAATACCACAGGAGAGCCAAGAACACAGAGAGAAAATTTGCGATTTCTAGCCCAAGAACACAGTAGGCTAGTAGCTGAGGTCGGATGGCAAATTAGTCCAAACCATGGTTCCAAGACCACACTGGTTAAATAGGGCACATGCGTTCCTAGGGAGGTGAAGGCTTTGCTCCTAACGGCATCAGGCGTAAGGGCAGGGTACGTGTAGAATTCATCTGCTCTAAGAAGACTTTAAACTCAGTGTTAAGAGGCTGTAAAGTCAAGAACATTTTCCAAAGTGATTCAAACCCTAAGTCCTATCAATGAGGAGTGAGAGCATTCCTTTTAGGCTCTTCATTGACTGAAGAGGGAGGGGATTCTTTCTGTGTAGTGAAGCCGCTGGCTGAAGGTGGGGCTGGGGGCCAGGGAACAGGAGAAGCAAGATTTTGAAGAGGTGGTTATGTAAATAAGGCATCTTTGGACCACCTGGCTGCAAGACAGCTCCTTCACACCAGGGGGCGCAACCAATGCAGGGACGGCGCGAACACAGCAAATAAAGCAACAGCATAAGTAATTCAAACTCCGTGGCCCAAGATTTGCAGAGGGACTCGGCCACAATATTCCGGACCTCCTTGACAGGCTCAAAGAGCGCAAACATGGATGGAATGAACTGAAGCCAAGGCACAATGTCTGTTCCTCTTGCGTGGAGTGGGGTGTGAGGAGGAGGCTGCAAATATTTGGGAATACCCTTCTGGTAATCACAGTGGTCGCCACGCCCCTCACCCTGCGCAGTTCTCTTAGCTCTGACATTCCTCCAAGACAAGCGTGGTCATTTATTTACTTGTATCTTGCTTCCTGGTTAAGGGAAGGGCTTGAACTTTGTCCCTTTTGTCCACTCTGAACCAGTGGCTTTTAGGGCCAGCCAATTGCCGATTAGAGCAGGCACTATCAATGTGCTGGAATGAATGGAGGGGGACAACCAGGACAAGAAGGTAGCTGACAGGGAGGTGGAGAGGGTGCTGCAAGGCTCTTGGTCCCCAAT